GTTGGTATGGCATTGTCATACCATCTTTTAAGTTGGTGTGGCGCGTGCCATGCCTGCCATACCGTATTCTCGACCCATGCCGGTGCAGAGTTTACGGGGTGGCTGAGGCTACGACGGCGGGCCTGATGTGTGTGCATGAGTAGCAGAGGAGCCGAGGCGTCGGCGGCGGACCTGATGCATGTGCATGAGTTGCAGAGTAGCCGAGGCGTCGGCGGCGGACCTGATGTATGTGCGTGATTTGCAGAGTGGCCGGGGCGTCGTCGGCGAACCTGATGTGTGTGCGTGGGTTGCAGAGTAGCCGAGGCGTCGGTGGCGGACCTGATGTATGTGCAGTGCAGAGTGTCAACTACGGAAAATCGGAATACCGATGCCAAACCGAGTACCAACCTAGGGTGCATTATACCAACAAAATACCGAACACATTAGGAATCAAATACCAAGTACCGAGTTGGTATCAGTATGGTTTTGGTATACCGAAAAGTTGTATCCGAGGACATCTCTACTGCAGAGTAGCCGAGGCGTCGGCGGCGGACCTGATGCATGTGCGTGCCGAGGCGTCGGCGGCGGACCTGATGTATGTGCAGTGCAGAGTGTCAACTACGGAAAATCGGAATACCGATACCAAAACCAAGTACCAACCTAGGGTGCATTATACCAACAAAATACCGAACACATTAGGAATCAAATACCAAGTACCGAGTTGGTATCGGTATGGTATCGGTATACCGAAAAGTTGTATCCGAGGACATCTCTACAGCAGAGTAGCCGAGGCGTCGGCGGCGGACCTGATGCATGTGGGTGCCGAGGCGTCGGCGGCGGACCTGATGTATGTGCGGTGCAGAGTAGTGACGTCAACTACGGAAAATCGGAATACCGATACCAAACCAAGTACCAAACCTAAGGGTGCATTATACCAACGAAATACCGAACACATTAGGAATCAAATACCAAGTACCGAGTTGGTATCAGTATGGTATCGGTATACCGAAAAGTTGTATCCGAGGACATCTCTACTGCAGAGTAGCCGAGGCGTCGGCGGCGGACCTGGTGCATGTGCGTGCCGAGGCGTCGGCGGCGGACCTGATGCATGTGCGTGCCGAGGCGTCGGCGGCGGACCTGATGCATGTGCGTGCCGAGGCGTCGGCGGCGGACCTGATGTATGTGCGTGCCGAGGCGTCGGCGGCGGACCTGATGCATGTGCATGAGTATGTATGTGCGTGAGTTGCAGAGTAGCCGTGGTCGGCAGCGGGCCTGACGTATGTGCAGTGCGGAGTAGCCGGGGCGTCGGACGCATTGCAGTTGCAGAGTAGCCGAGGGGTCGGCGGCGGACCTGATGTGTGTGCATGAGTTGTAGAGTGGCCGGAACCAGGTGTTTTGTGTGTATCGCGTCGCAGGTTGGGGTGCCGCGTTGCACGACCCTTCAAAGCGTGCCTACCAGGCTCCCCGGTTTCCTTTACGATTGCGTGTGCGCTTAATATGCCTCTGAATAAATGCGCGTCAGTCGCCGGGGAACCATCCTCATGGTGGCGCCGCGTCGGTCGCCGGGCAACCATCCTCGTGGTGTCGCTGCCAAGGAACCGCACTCCGCTGTACGTACCCCCGAGCCGTGCTCGATACGCCTCACCTGCCGTGCCGGCGTTAGTGTGCCTGACCATAGAATCCTTGTAGCCGTTGGTACTCCCCACAGCTTCCCTGGCTCCCTTCTCGCTCGCTCTCCGCTCCACTCGCCGGCGGCCATGTCGGCGTGAAGGAGTGCGTGATCAGATAATCCTCGTAAACGTTGGCACTCCGCACGGATTCCTTAGCTCACTTCTCGCCCACTCTCTGCTCCACTCGCCGTCCGTCACAGTCGACGACTGCCGTTCGCGCCTCTCGGCTCTCCTGCCAGCGGCGCGCCCGTTCCTACACTCCCCTTCGCACCACCCCTAGTCAGGGTCTGCCCCGCGTCTGTCGGCGGGGTGATTTATCTGTCTCCGACCCCCGTCTCCCTTTGCTCCGGTCACGTTCAGTGGCGCCCGGGCAGGGTCCTAACCTTCCATAGCCGCGTCGCCGCTATGAGTTGATTAGGTGTGATGTGTGGGGGCTCGCCAGAAATGTGGGCTGGTCGTGCAGCCCACTGTGGGTCGGCCGGCTCACGTCAGAACAACACTCTGAAAGTGTACATATTTTGGTGGCGATGAATGCGTAGAATGATGACTGCTCTAGTTTTGTACTCATCAGCATTATTTTGGATCGGGAAGTGCATGTTTTGCACAGTTGAACCATCACTCGGACCGGACCCACGCGTTCCCAGATCTTGACATCAACCTCCGTCAGATAGCCAGGGTCCCATAGTCTGAAATTGGACCGTCGATATCAGTCACCCGCCGTCTCGGGAGCTGATACCGCACCTCACCGGGCGCCGCCAGCTCGCCCTTCCCACCCGGTCCGCGCCCCTCCCCCTCCCCTCCCCAGCTGACCTCTGACCCAACAGATGCGCCGGCGACGTGACATGACGCCACCAGCGGCAAAAACGGCGCCCGGGCCGCGCCGTGGTCGCCACCGGCGCCGATAGCGGGCGGCTGTGTTTGCCGTGTCTGCGGGTGGCGCCGGGGGCCGCTCAGATAGGTGCCGGGTCGGTAACAGCCGCCGACTGACAGGAGACACAGGGGTGGGGCCCGCTTAGATGCTCGCGGATCGGTAACAGCCGCCGACTGACAACTAGGGGACGCAGCGGTGGCGCCTCGGCCGCCTCTGAATGACCCAGCTAATGATTGCTCGTTGATGGATTGATCAGTATATCGGCGCGCATGCAGGCATCGGATGTTTACCTAAGAATTCGAGCAAGAATTGCTTCGTTATTTTTTATGAGCTCTTGTTTTCATGTTCTCATTTTGTTCTTACGCTGCCCTTGCCGCCACCATTACGCTGCTGCATTCCTACCCTTTCCATCTCCTGCCCAATCCCTCCCCCCCCAAGTGCCACCCTCACTCTTGTAAGATGGACTGCTCTAATGTTTGCTCAGTCAAGCGCCGGTCGTGCCTGATAAGTGAGCTCATCAATCTCCCTCTAGCCTGGCCCCTGTGCCGGCGTTTTTGGTCTCGGTAGCCGCGACAGGTGACGAGTCTGTTTATTGGTAATTTGTTTACTGCGCGCTTCTTATCGGCTGCTGCGATCGGGGATCTGACCGCGGGTATGTGGGTCAGCGCTCCCTGGTCAGCAGCTCGCGCAGAGGCGGCCTGCGGGCGGAGGAGGCGTGGCCGGTGTCTGACAGGGTGGGAGGCAGGGCCGCAGGGCACCGTCTGATTGGGTGGGGGGGGGGGGGGGCGACAGGGCTCATCCTAATGGGGTGTGTGGGCCATTGTCAGCGCTGCAGACTGCCAGCGGGGATGTGACGCCCGATGACCGATCTGGCATCACCATTTACCGGCGGCAGTCCTCAGGCAGTTGTCTGCAGCGTATGCAGGGGAAATGAGTGAAGAGGTTTGATTTTTGGAAGCGTACGAACGGTGCAGCGCTGCTCTGCGGGACTACTGCGCTCTGCGACTGGGTGACCTTCCCCGTGGCTGGCTGTCAACGCACATCACGGCTGTGCAGTGTGCACGCCGTCAGCTCACGCATATAACGGGCTGATGCCATAACCGAGGCCGGGCAACTCACGCTGCAGTGGACTCATAGTGCCTATAGCACTGGTGATCGGCGTGGCACATGCTATGCACGCTGGGTACACTGGTGATACTGCTAACGCTTATACCCACTGGCGCCGGTGCTGGTCTCTGTTGTATTCCGAGGTCCGTGGTCGGTCGGCTCTATCGGCAGACCGTACTCCGACCTTGTGGTCTCTCAGCCCGCACCGTGCCGTGTGGGGAGCGGACTCTGACCGACCGGCAAACAGGGAAACCTAGAGACCTACCACCGCCGTGGCCAGCCTTTGTGTCCGCGCCGAGCTGGGACGGAAAGGAAGGGGTGGACGGCTGCTCAGCTGCCGGACCAGGAACTCCTGCGTTCAAGGATGGATGGACTGGGGAGCTGAGAAACTGGGGCAGTTCAATGGGTTGTGTTGGGTCGGGAGCCGGAACCAATGGGATCGGAAACCGAGACCGGAGACCATAGATCTGGACATCAGGGACCAATGGACCGTGTCTCGGGGACCGGGACCGCGGACCGCGGACCGGCTGGTCTCCGGGAGGTCGGGCCGGTTACCTCGTCTGGCGCGGATCCGCCGCTATCCGGCGCCGCCAAATGGAGCAGAATTAACGGGGGAAGTGGAGCAGCCCGGCAGCGGGCGGCGGACGCGGGGACGGCCGGTCCGCGCGCCGTGACCCCGCCTTGGCCCCGTGACCCCCCGTCTGGAGGGCGGCCGATTTTATGGACTGATTGATGTGGAGTTGGAAGCGGCCGTGCCGAGGCCCGAGGGAGTGACGCCCGATAAAAGGGGAGGTCATCTTCCACGGCTCTGCTGCATGAATGAAGAGCGTCACGCTTCTCTGTGTCGGCGCCTGTGTTCGATTCCCGCTGATGCCTTGCGATAAATCCTCATTAAACCATGCCGTAAAAGGTGCAACCTCATGCGAAATTAATTTTGCACGACAGGCTATTGTGGCATAATGTGTGCCGTTATCTGGTGCGGCGGGGGCAGGGGGGGGGGGGGAGGGTCGGCGGGTGCAACTCAGGGGAGGGAGGACGGGGCAGCTGTGTAGGTGCGCGCACATGCGGCCCAGTTGGCCGGCTGTGGGTCGGGGCGGCGCCGGGGCGACTGGGCCGGCCGTTACCTTTCCCCTCCCCCTGCCCAGGTGTGTAGGTCCGGCGCGGGACGGTTCACCGCCCTTTGTCACCCCGCCGACCAGCTGGGGCCGGTGGGACCAGCTGGTGGGGAGGGGAGGGGATTCATCCCGCCGCGCGGCCGCGCAGTACCGCGTCTACCGTCCGGGCCGCGCGGCACGGCTGCACTGAGCGCCGGCCGGCGGCGCGGCGCGCTGCGCTGAATACCCGCCTCATATCTGTGCTTACTTTCCAGATAGGGCCGGTGTGCCGGCGCGGCGGCAATGTGTCGGAGGTGGCCGCGCCGTGCCGGCTGATGGAGCGCTGCTGCCGGATCTGACCGGACCCCGGCGGAGCGGAGCGGGTCGTCGGCCAACCCAGTGACCAGTGAGAGAGGCGACGGCAGCGGCCGACCTGTGCTGCAGTGGAATGAGTGTGCGCCTGTGAACGACGCCGAGCGCGGCCGACAGATCACACGTGAAACGATGGCCGGCCTGACCCAGACCGACGACTACAGCGACTACGCCTACAATGGAGACTACGAGTACGACGGAGGGGTGAGTACCCGTAGTCACTTTTTCATAGTCGTTTGTCGAAGCTCATTGCCTCGGTGTCGGCAAGTGTGGGCCTCACACCGTGATTCTGTGGTCGCGGCCAGCCGGTTCCCTGGTATTTACAGAGCACATGTTTTGCTGCAAAGAGCGACTGTTTCATCATGCTGAGAGGGGATATTCTGCACCTTAGCGATCGCATCCCAACGTGAGGCTGCCGTTTTATGTAAACAATTTACAAGATGGTCCTTGTCTGTCGAGCTTTGAGACCCCACCTATCGAACAACAATTTCGGGAACTGAGTTGAAACCCTGAGCACTTGTTTAGATTATCTTAAGATCGTCTACTGGTAATACCTACAGTCTGTAACTACAGTCTGTAGGTAGGTACTTATTCGACGGTTTCGGATTGCGGCGCTGCGGATATTGTTGACATTTCCATCCAAAAATTTAGCTTTTGAAGGTTTAATGTGATCGAATGTCGAAAAGCAGTTTGAATATCAAATAATCGTCTAAAATATTTGGATACCTTTATTGTAACAAAGGATGGTCCGTAGATGCCGACAGACTGTTATAGTCTCTCGATTATAATTACGAGCGAGCGAGCGCAGCGAGCGAAGCGAAGTCTTTTCAATATAGGTAACGGAAAAATCTCAACAGTTCAATTCCATTGTAATTCAGCTGTTGATAGCTGCATTCAACGCATATTGAAGTTTATTTACCACCTTAGTACCTACTTTTGATCATCCAATTTTAGCGTTGGAAGTTACTCGTTCAATATATGTCTGTCTATGAGAGGCCGCGTCGGCTCTCGAGTGCTGACCTCTGTGACCTCTGTGACCTCTGTGACCTGGGTGACCTGTGTACCGCCTCTTACACCGACTGACGTCATGATTCGTCCCGCTGACTCACCGACCGATGGCCTCTGTCCTGCCTCGAGGGAGCCCCTTGACCGGTGACCTGCCCTGATATTCCACCGTCACACCCGTGCTGACAGCGTGATCGCTGACCCTGCCCCCTCCCCCGGGCCCGGGGCACCCCCTGACCGGGCACTCTCTGTCCTGTCTGTGAGTGTCACCCCCGTGACCTCTACCTCGCCCAGCGCGGTTACCAGGCGCCCGGGTCTGTCCCACTTGTGACAGAAGTATCTGGGAAGGGCCACACCCGCCGCGCCGGCGGATTGACCGCCTGATAAACCGGGCACCACTCTGCGGCTAATGGTCGGACGCTCGGACATTAGTGGGCGCCGGGCCGGCGACCGGCGCCGTGACACCCCGTGACGCCCCGTGACACCCCGTGACACCCCGTGACACCCCGTGTCAGCGTGTCACATTGTGTCGTGTCATGTCATGTGTCAGGGCGTGCTTCCGGCTGGGTGTGGCGCGGCGGGGAGCTGTGCAGCAGCCGCTCATTGGGGGCATCATAACACATTAGCCGGAGGGTTTCTGGGCTTCAACCGGTGCAGATTATCACTGGAGCCGAGCTCAGCCCATCATATCCGAGCCGCCATCATTGCAGGGGAAGTATGACGAATATTCGGTGCTTCCGGAGTAGCGAGAATTTAGGTGTGCGTGGTTACAATGCAACGGATTTAGGCTTCGGACTTCGCACCTTTTTGTGGTGTATAAAGTTTTACAAGTTTCCAGGTGTGGGATTGCTTCTTTGCATGAAAGTATGGGATTTCGCCCGATTTTTGTCCCTGAATCCGCCGCTGCTCACGTGCTCGGCTAGGTATCCTGGCTATCGGTATGGCACGCTCGCCCCGGGCGCTATCTGCCCCCGGGGCGAACTGACAGTCGCGCCGCGAGGGTCACCGGAGGGGGGGGGGCGATAGCGCACACCGCTGTCGACAAACATCACATGATAGCGACTTATGTGAACACTGAACTGTGCAAACGGGAGCACGATCAGTCGTGTGAGACGTGTAGTTTCCATCAAATAAGAGTCAATGAGTGAAATTTGATCCTGTTCATTATATGTTGACAAAAATAACTGTGCATTGTGCAATAAGGTAACCTAGGAATAAGCGCAATGCGGGGAAATTTGTAGGGGATATATCGCGCTGAAAATGAGAAGCCATTAATGCTATCAGGCCTGTGTTCTACTTCTCTCCTTTTAAGAATGCGGCGCGTTTTCATGCCTTCAAAAGGGCTGCTAATTCGCGATTTCCTTGTGGGATTCTGTTTGACATTCAGGCGTTAGGCCGGTGCCTAATCTCTCCAATCATCACCCGGCCATTCCACTGCGCCGCCCCGTCAAATGAGAACTGCGATCCATCCATTGGACCGTGCCAGCTGTGCTAAAAGGGCCATTCGTCACATGAGGCCACCGTTTTCCAGTTGACGCCCAGGCCCTGCGCCGCCCCTGCCACTATGCGTATCGGGTGCGTTTGGTTGGTGTGCTAGCTCGTAAAGTAAAGCGGCCGCCCTCACCTTCGCCCCGCGTCAGCCGCGCGGCAACACGCGGTCTATCGACGTATCGATCGCTCTGCGTCACGCGGGGCGGTCCTCCCTCGTGTCCGTCCCGCTCCCTGGGACCCCTTCCCCTTCCTGCGACCCTCGGCGATCACTACCGTGTCGCTCGGGGCCGGTCGGGCTCCCCTTCGTCACTCCCTTGCCTCGCTCGCCGGGTGGCTAATGCTCACCGAGTGCAGCCAGTAGGGGTGCTCCTCAACACCCGTCCTCGGCACCCCCCATCCCCTTCAGCTGCCCGGATTGGTGCCCCCGCAGGAATGCCCGCTGCACAATCAGCTCACGGGTATAAGTGGTGGCCTCCGCTGAGCCGACGGTCAACTTCCGCCCTCCGTCGTTCCCACGCCCCCTCCTTATCCAGGGGATCAATGAGCATCCTGCGGAAGGGAGGTGACAGTCTGAGTCGCCTGTTCAACGGCTGAAGTGGCGGTGTTATATAAGATAATGCTGACTTACGATTGGCATTTGGAAGCCTCTCGAGAGCTGTTCTGGCCCATCAGCTGATGGCTGGCCTGTGTTTGCTGTTAGTCCTGTAGTCCTCAGCGGAATGGGGTGCGGCGATTTCATCAGCACTGGTGTCAGCGGGAGGCGGCGCCTGCAAAAACCGAGCCTGCAGGCTTACAGGGACACCCAAAAATGTGCCGCCGGTACCGAGGAATAACTGAGAGTGAATGTAAAACAGATCTGTTTGTGAGTGCTGGCGTGCCCGGCCATGTCACGACACCGGAGTTGGTGGTCCGTTGAGGGGCCCGTTGACTGCCGGCGGTCGACGGGCTGGGACGGGCTGGACTCCCTGGTCTGGGACGAGCTGGACTCTCGGGCTGGGACGGGCTGGCCGGCCTGCTGAGTCGGTGTGGGCTGACGGGACCCTCCCGAGCGGTGGTGGGCCGGGGCTCTGCCGGGTGGAGGTGACCGTACCCAGGTGACCGGGTACTGCTGCGCTGGCGATGTTGTTTGGACTGCGGCGTCAGTAGCAGCCGAGCGAGGTCAGGTCGCTGAGACCGCCGGCCCGCCGGCCGTCTCCCCTGCCGACCGACACTGCTGGCCTCAGCTCCGCGTCAGCAGTCCGTGCCCAAACAGCCGGTGGTGCCGGGGCGAGGTCCGATGTGTCGCTGCCGGTGCCGCCCACAGCCCACAGGCCGGCGGACGGCGGGGGGAGGTCCACCACCCCTTATCAGCGCCCTCCGGAGCGACCCGGATCGCCCGACTGCGGTCACGATAGCTGATAAAGACGGCGACGTAGGATCAGGCATCTGCAATACGTAACTGCACATCCTGGTGGGTTCTGTGTAACTAAGAGGGATTTGGATATGTCAGGAGTGACTTCCTTAGTATGCACTGGATGGGAACTGGGGGATCATCTTAGTGTGGTCAGATCTGGTTTGTACGAATATTGGTTAAGTGGCAATGCGATCACGGCAATGCGTTCGAGATAGATCACGAGGCTTGGCCTCGTGATCTATCTCGAACATTCGTTGATTATGCAGGGTGCTCGTAGGCGTGATATCGTTCCCCTTGAACGGAAAGCCCGACTTGTCATGTATTCGCGTGTATCATGACACTCTTGTACCTGTAGGGAGTTTTGCGCTCAGATAAGGTATCATGCACCACCGATAGTCTGCCTGGTAGTCCCGGTAGCTTTCCGTCCACCGCCGCGCTGACCGGGGCCGTCACGGTGGATGCAGACCGGCCACCGCACCCCAGGCCCCAGTCCGCCCCGCCAGGTGTGTACCGACGGCTGCGTGTGCGTGCGTGCCAGCGCGGCGCTGCGCGTGGCGGCGGCGGCGCGCGTGCGGGTGGAAATGGGGCGGAAACGGGCGCTGCGAGTGTGCAGCCCGAAATCGGTCGATCGCGGATTACACGTTTACACTCGACCGCACCGGCCGATATGACGTGTCTCTGCCACACTGACTGTGCGCGGAATACGGACCACTGCGGACCTGGCAGACCACTGCGGGCTCGCCGACTTTCCTGCCCGGCTGCCGGCGACGGCGTCCCCCTGTTGGTTTCGCAAGCGCGCTCGTCGGCTCCGGTAAGCCACCGCTGACGATCGGTGCGCAGCGAGGGTCGACATGCGAGCTCCGGGCCAGATGTGCGTGCGGCGGCCGGGCCGCTCGGGCCGCGCGCCGGTCGACTCCGGTGTATGTTGACGCTGCAAGGCCCGTGTTTGGGCTGCGCTGTCAGTCGGCTGCAGCGGCCGTCAGAGCCGCCGCGCCGGCAGCCACCAGAGACGTTTGTTGTCGCTGCCGACACGCCAGTCGACTGCCATTTCAGCGCGGCGCCACCGAATACGGCGCAGTGGCGACGGACGCGCCGCGGCACGGCGGAGAGTGGCGCAGCAGCGGCGAACACGATGGAGACGTGGGGTTAGGAGGACTGGACAGTTTGTCTGTGATCCGTCCGGCCGAGCGCCGCGCCGTGCCGGTCCCGAACGGCGGCGGATTACACGCTGTTGTGTCAGTCGCCTGCAGAAGGCGGACTTGTCTCGAGCCGACACTGGACGGCTGATCCACCCGCAACGCTCCGTGCTGCATCC